GAGGGCTTAGCCCCACAAAAGTCCCCCTCTTTTTTTAGTTTTGTGGCATCGAAGCCCCCCCCCCAACTCACATTGATGTTAATAATATTAGCCCCCCTGAAATTGTAATGGATTTCTACCTATCAGTAGGTAGGATGTTAGTAATAATTGTGATTTGTGTTTTGTTTGTAGTAGGTTACCTACATAAATATAATTTTAAATATTTTACATGTACCTACTACATATTATTTACTTTACAGATGATGAATTAAAAACTGTTGGGTGAATTCATAATTTGTAAGAATAATTATTTAATTATTTTAATTGTAATATTTAAAAAAAATAATATTAATTACATACATAGATAGAAAAAAAAGTATGTTGCTGCGCGCGGGTCGACAATATCGACACATATTCGGCTAGTCGTATTTTTGGAGCGGCGATACGGGAAAGGTAATTTAAGTCAACATTACATTACATTACATTAAATTAGAGGCAATTCATTAATAAATTGAAAAATTAAACATAATAGATAAAATAATTGCAAAATTATAATAAAATCAATTGATTAAAAAATTTAAAATTAAAAAATTAAAAATTTAAAATTTTCAAGTTTCTGATTTTTTCCTTTGTATTTACCTAACTACCTATCTGTATGCCAAATTTGAACTTTCTAGGTCATCTGGAACTGGGTTAGAATATTGATCTATAGGTAAGTCAGTGATAAAAATGACGATTTTCGGACGTTAATATCTAAATAACGGTTTGAAGTGTGTTTATGAAATTTAGAGCACATATGTATCTCGTTAGTCTCAATATATGAGCCAAATTTGACATGTTTATGTGGAATCGTTTTTGAGTTATGAGGGGGTCAAAAGTGGCTCCAAATGGTTCGTGTAATATTACACACGGTGCTGCTCGCCAGTTCTGTTAGCTAGAACTTGGCTTGATATTATTGTACTATAGTAGGTTTATACTATTGTTTTGTTCTTTGTTAAAAATATGAAAAACCAATAATTAGGTAGGTACATAGAAATTATAAATACATATAATTATAAAACCGTAGACAAAACTGTGTGTATTATCGATAACAAAACAAGGTTTTACTGCATTCAGTGAATCTCAGTGCACACTGCACAACTTGGACTCTCATGGACATATAACATTTAGTAAATAGTAGCTCAGTTAATCATATATTCATATATAGGCACCTCTTAAAATAAATGTGTTATACTATAAAATATATAGTAAATATAATTAATTATATAGGTATTATAATACTTAATATATTATATAAACATTTTATTATTATTTATTTACATTTTACCAATTTAGTACCAACTCGCACCTAGCCACTTAGGTTCTATAGGTACTTGCTATTTACTTATTATATATACTGTATATTATTGTATAGGTACTTATTATTGCTATATTTTAGGTGCAAACACAGCTTAAACATAATCTATTGAAATAAATAAAAATAAAAAGGTCTCTTGTCTTGCTTAAAAAGTATACAATTTATTTTATATATTTTTTGTTATTTACATGGAAGTCAATCTTTTTGTCTTTTGTCTGTGTTAATTATATATTTTTAAACCAATATAATACACTCATGGTGTGTCTATGAAACCTATCCTAACTAACTTCCATAAACTCTTAAATGCATAATATTATAGGAATTTTATATTTACATTTACACTATAGTAGGTACATTTAGAATGACGCTTGTGATAACTATAATATTTTATTATTATAATATGTTATAACTTATATGTGAAAAGTTAAAACATATATTCTAATAATTATCCATTGTTTTAGTTAGTGTATTTCTATCAGTCTATCAATACTATGTACCTACTTTTGTCTCTTGGTTTACCTATATGTAGGCATGTAGCTATATTGAATTACATTTATTAACCAACTTTCCTATTAATTCATACATATACATTACTTTTTAACTATTGCCTTGATAATATAAAACTGCCTCATAAAATATTATAATTAATGAATTAGGTACGTGTTATTTTTGACTCCAAATTTTCTTTTAAATATCATGTTTATACCATAAAAAATAAATTGTATGTGAAATTATGTTTAATAAAACAAATGTGTACACATTTTAATAATGAATCAGCCTTAAAAGTTTTGTAATATTCTCTAATATCCAAACTTGAATAGCCCCTTTAGATTGGCATTGGGATAGTATCTCCCAATATCAGTGTTTAAGTTCTGTTCAAAATAAATTTTTAGATATTTAAGCTATAATAATACGGATCAAAAAATTCCTCATACATGGTATGATCATATAAGCAGTTTTTTAATATCATTCTATTAAATAAAAGATTTTAATTGCTTAATTTAATACTCTTATTTAATATACGCAATAATCATATTGATTGCCCTGAAGTAATAGAACGTTTACATTTTAAAATTAATACCTATTCTAGAAATAAATCTTTATATTATTATCCTTTATTAGGTTCTAGTGCATACAATATGCACTATCCTGTGAATAAACAAATGTTGGTTGGTAATTCTATCTGTATTAATGATTTATTTAAAACATCACTCAATGAGTTAAATAAATTATTATTATATTGTTTATTATATTATATTATTAATTATTATATTGTAATTTGTAAATTAAGTATTTTCACTAATTTTTGTAATTTTTATATTTCTTTGATATTAAATAATATAATATAGTATACATTTTGCCAATCTTCTTTTAATTTTATTATTATCTTATCCTTTTATTAGTTTTTTTAGTATGTAGGTACAGTTTTTAGTTTAAATTAAATGATTATGAATATTATAATTATTTATATGATTATGGTTACTTTATATACCTACCAATTACTTTTACGATTACCTACTATACATAGGCGGGATGCCGAGTATGCCATAGCCCATGGGATCCCTGTAGAGTTATCATAACCATAAACCATATAGTTTTTAGTTGTAAATGTTTTGATTATAAATTAGAATCATGAACTATAATAGTTCATAGTATCTTGGTTCAAGAATTTAAATATTTTGATTATTTTTTTATATTATTTTCTTAATTCTTATAATAAAATATTGGGAGTTGAGACAAAATCAAATATTAATTAGATTTCATAATTATATTTTTATGATAATATAGTTGAAATCAAAATCCACTGTTTTCGGGAGAATTGCCGGTGTCACCAGAACATTCAGGCCCCTGCAGTATTGCTTATTTTCATACTACCTACAACTATCAGTAGTATATATTTGTATGTTCTGAGCACCTTTTTACAGGGAAATTTCTTAAATTTAAGGGGCCATTTCTACATTCTCCACTGTGTAACACATAAATACATAATCTCAAAAAGTGTAATGTATGTTCTGAGCACCTTTTTTACAGGGAAATTTAATCAATTTCAGGGGTAATTTCTACATGGTCCACCGTGTAACACAAAATTTTAAAATTTTAATAATATATTATTGTATTTATCAAATTTTTCATTTATACTTAGAAAATTAATATAATTTACTAAGTAATATTACTACTAAATTAAAAATAAAAATTACATAATTATTTTGTACCAATACACATACCTATACACAGTTCTGTGATGTGTTACAGGATCACATAAACTGTTTAAAAATCATACTTTTTAAAATGTTGTGTTACGCGGTGGAGCATGTAGAAATGACCACTTAAACTGATTAAATTTCCCTGTAAAAAAGGTGCTCTGAACATACATTACACTTTTTGAGATTATGTGTTACACGGTGGAGCATGTAGAAATGGCCGCTTGAATTTAAGAAATCTCCCTGTAAAAAAGGTACTCAGAACATACAAATATATAGGTACCACTAATATCAAAAATAAAAGAATTTCGTTTAGTTAGATTATCATTTTTTGTCATTATTATATTATTATAATATGATCAAATGTCTGTAGATTTCTATACTGTTACTTTAAATGAAATCACAGTACAAACTTTTCAAATTAAAATATCTAAAACCAATAAATAAGCTAATTAAAATGCATGTTAATTTCTTTTCGAATTATATGGCGAGTTATTTGTACCTATTATTTATTAAGAGTTTTTGGGGAGTTATTTTTTGGATTGAGCTAGGTATTAAAATGTTTTAAAATACCGGCATATTTTTCGAAAAAAGACTGCGCACGCCTATGCTAGGTACTAATATACACTATACACATATATGTATTAAGATTCAGAATGCAAACTACACAGATAAATAATTGCATATATGTCATTACGCACCATTATAATTGCTCATTTAAATAATAATTCATATAAGACATTCAATAAAAGGTACCTATATAATGTCATAATATAATTTACTATTATATAATATACAAGTACACGTATATGCTTTTTTTTTATGGAAAAACAAATTTAGAATATTTACAATCGGTATTAACAAGTTATACAGTGGCTAAATTTGATGAGAGTTTATTGGCGAAAAGGTGAAGAATTTTCCTTGTGGTTCACAATTGTCAATTCCTATCAACATTATATTATTCAAATATTTAGCCATGTATTAGTATACTTTTGCCCCATGCTATTAAAAACTGATATTACGCTTACGCCACTGATATTGTTATATATAAATTATAATTTCTATTCTAATGACTGACCCATGTTTGTTTGATATCTATTAATAATATTTTAATGAGAGCAATAGAGCGTGGAAAATAAGCTCTACCCCCAATCGCGCTGTAATTCTCAGAATGTTATTGCCGGCGATCGGCAAGCCAATCATGCACATCTTACCGAGAAGCCGGTTAAAATAATGAAGTAAAATAATATGCACTGAAAAACAATACAGGGAAATCCAAATTTATTGTCCATGTGTAGGTATGTAATGTTATTATTGTTATCGTGTTTATTTGGCGATTTGTCTAACAACGTTTATCCTTCACGATTTCACGTCTTCGCAGTTCTTCAGTTGTTCTTGGCTATCATACATATTATTACATAATAACGTCCCTCTCGTGTAGGTTACAAAATAATATTGTAATAATGAATCGCATTGAAGACGACAAAGGTTTTTTATACAAATGTAATGGCGGTGAACGTAAGGGAGTTCGGTAAGTTGTGTTTGTTCATACTTGATAATTAACTTAACTTTGAATTTTGTATATTTATTTTTATTGATTAAATTAATAAATCTTTAATATATTTTTTATTTTAGTTATTTGACATGCTACCAAAAATTTTGCAAAGGATCGGCATCAATTAGGCAAAATGGTTCTATTGTAAGTGGTAAAGACCACAGTCCTAATTGTTTGCCTAATAATGCTGACAACGAACGCTTCAATGAAAAAATTAAATTTAGGAAAATTTTATTATTAAGATCTAAACAAGAAACTACTCGTTTAAGAACTATATACGATGAAGAATGCATAAGGTAAATTTAAAAATAATAAATATTTTGTTCATTTTGAAACTTTTTTTATTTATATGTACCTACATCCTTATTGTTGGTAATTTTTTATATTTAAGCATATTTATTATTTTTATTAAACTATTAATTAAATACTTATATACCTATCTATCCAATAACCTTAATCATCTCCTTATACTCATATATTCTTACTAGCTAGGTTAACATCACCAGTAAATGATTTTATTTTATTATATTATTGCCTTTGTAGTATAATATTAGTTAAGACGTTAACATAAATCAGATAATTTTAAACATAACTCATTTAAAGTTAATAAAATAGTGATTGAGTAAGTGCAAATATGGGTACCTACCTTACTATAATTATACATATATTATAATATTTTTTTATTTAAATTAAAAATAGTAATGTGTTAAAACTTCAATAGGTATAGTTATCTCAAATCCATATAAAAAAAAAAAAAAATTAAAATAAATAAAACAATAACTAGAAAACCATAATAGGTAATATAATATAAATAGGAAGAAATACTTATTTGCTACTTCATAAAAGTTTTTCATTTTTTTGTCCCCATACTACCTCATTTGGGACATAATTGTAAACCGGGTTCATCAAAGTTAATTACCCTGTTGATATTATTTAAATTGTCTAAACTACCTTACTCTTCTACATAAGATAGATTTCTACTAAACCATTATTGTCTAATTGAATGCTCTGTTACAGCAGCTCTGGCTTATGAAATAACCTCAGTATGCCTTTTTGCTATATCTTTGTGTCTATTTAAAAATAATTTAAACCATTTATACCAGGCAAATTGTTCCTGAATGGATTTTTAATTGCAAATCCTTTAACAAATTTTGTATCGAGTCTTTAACATTTTCTGGGTCTACAAGGAAATCAAATTTAGCTTTAGCTAAAATTCAATTAACAATTTTATTCTCTTCAAACTGTTAATGTAATTTGAGGACCCATTTTACGACATACCTATTGGTACTTTATTGTTTACTTTATTACTAAGTGTAGGTATATACTACACTAGGCACCTAGCTGTTTCTTTATGAACTTGATTTTGTAACTTATATACTATTAATAGTGGAGTTGACTGCATTTTGTAGATCAACCTCAGTGTACTGGAATTATACATAAGTTTTTTTTTCTCACCACATCATTCACAGTCTTGTGTTTCAGAGTTATTCATGTTTCAACTACTTACAAATTAATTAATTTACTTGATTTAAAAAAAAATGTAATTTATAAAGTCAGAACCTACGAAATTTGCTGAAATGTGTGTATCTTTATAATCAAAAAGAAAATAAGAATAGTGAAAACTTTTTTAATTAAAATGTATGTTCATTTACTGCATATAAATATATTACAGAATTCAATAAATGAACATGTTCATTCACTGGTTAGAGAGCATTTTTATGAAATCCAATGAATGAACACCCGTTCATTCACTGGTTTTTCTCTAAATTTGTAAACCTGTGGCTGAACACCGTTTAAGTAAAAATTAAAAACTAATAATAAACGTTATTCTGATTGTATGAATAATTATTAAAAGGACGCTATACCCACATGCGTTGTCTCCGTCTTACAAATGTACAACATAGCAAAAAAACTATTTTGTGCGGGATAGGATAGAACCACTCCCTCTGTATTTATAGTAGAATAATAAAATAACCAAAATTCCACAAAGCATAGGGAACAACTTTATCTGTGTCATAGCGTTTTATTTTTTTTTTTATAGCATTTACCAATCATTTTTAATAATTAAATGAAAAAAAACAAAAAAAATCCTAATGTTCTCAAACTGATAACTTTAATTGTGTCTTTTAAATTAGAAATCGTATTGGAGCTCTTCAATATGGGTGGCCGGTGGCCGAAATATCTATGCGGCTTGCAAGGAAAAAGGCTACACCTGCATTGCCACAGACTCTAATCGCCTTAGCAGATTTTTTAGACATTAACCCTGACCGGTACAAATGTTGTGAACGGCCTTTTTACCAAGAAAGAATTGTTGATGGACTTGGAAAATGTTCCATAATATTTGGTTGTGAAGAACTGGTTAATGGTGTAATTCGACTTGGTGGAAATGAATTGCATGCAGATGCTACATTTAAAGTAGTACCATCTAAACCAAAAAGTCGACAAATCTTCATCATGCACATTATTATTCAAAACCATGTAAGTTTATTCAAAATAATATATGACAGAATATCAACTTTGATCATATACCTACCACTATTAGTTAACATGTTAATATATTTCTAACTGAATAATTCAATTGTTATTTTATATTTCAGTCCATCCCTATTATGTATGCATTAATGGAATCAAAAACTCAAGAAGCATATAGACTAGTACTTGAAAAATGTAAATTGCTGTTCCCACAATTGGCTCCCATCATAATTATGACAGATTACGAGAAAGCATTAAAAAATGCTTTTTTATCTGTTTATCCTAATGCAAACTTATATTCTTGTTGGTTCCACTATGTACAGGTAATAAAATAATTAGTTAATTAACCCAGTTTATTTCTTATTATTACTTATAAGCTCGGTAGATTATAATATTATAATCTACCGTACTTATTAATAAAGAGCGCAGATTTTTATGCAATTGCTTATTTTTGGGATTTTTGTTGGTTATCTTTGTGAATTTTAATAGTTGAAGCTAATGTAAATTTGTTTTTGCATATTACTGCATGTGTTATGGTTTTTGCATATTTGCGCATGTTTTGAAAAAACTGAAAATTTAAAAAAATTATTGCCCATTAATTTTAATAAAATTATAAATTGTAAAATTAAAAATTATTTTTTGATTAGGTAGATATAGTAGATGTCTATAGTTATAAGTTGTTTAATTTGTTTCAAATTATTTTAAGTCATAAATTTATAAGCAAATAAAAATTATGAATTTTTTACCATATTACTCAATTTAAAGTTTTTTTTCTTGAATATTTTCACGATTTTGACTGCATATTATATGGAATATTTTGATACTTTTTAGTGCATAAAAATCCGCTATTTTCTATTTTTTTTTAAGACAGTCAGTAGATAATCTGAGTTGCGTACTTGTTATAATTTTACAAAATATACTATACACCTATTTATTATTGTGTATTTTAAGTATTTATAACTCTTATAAGGTTCCCCAATATTATCTGTTGACGTAGGTATTGTGTAATTTTTTTTTTAAATATGTTTTAAATTATTTTTTGTTAGATATAAATAATTGTTCTTTACAATTTTGTTAATTTAAAGAGTGGCTTTATATAAATTTGTTCCATTACTGAATAGATATTTATTTAATCATATATTTGTATTTAGAGTTTAATGAGAAACATTCAACGAAAAGGCCTAACAACCTATTTAAAAAACTCTTATGAGGCACAAATGTGTGTAAAAATGTTTGCCGCATTGGCACTTCTTCCAGCAAATCTAATTGAAGAAGGCTATCAATGTATACGGCAACATGCAAGGAATAATAATTTACAACTAACTCCATTCTTCAATTACTTTAACAGGTAGATGGCCATACAAATTTAATCATGAATTGTGATCATTTTTAGACACTTTTAATTGAACTATGTCTTAGCTTTTGGTTACGGACAGTAGGCCCAGAAACATTTTCTGTTCATGGAATCGCTAGGAGAACAAATAACAATGTTGAAAATTTCCATGGACGTTTAAAAGAAAAATTTCAGACTTCCCATCCAAACCTATGGACATTTTTAAGTATGTCCTTCTTAAAATCTAAAATGGTTTTTAGTCAGAATAATGTGACTGTAGCGATTTAAAATAGTCACTACTAAAAGTGTACACTATGCTCTAGTGTTTTGGATGTTATTATTAATTAAAACTACTCTGTTTCTTTTCAGAACATTTGAATGAACTAAGTTTAAAAAACCACATTACCATTGCACAATTGAGTCAAGGTCAAAAAGTATCCAGACCAGTTAAAATAAAATACATTGCCAATTCAGAACGCATAAAAATTGCAACTGCACAATTAAATCTAGGAACAATTAATGTGTCTGATTTTTTAATTCAATGTTCCTATACCGCAGAGACTTATATTCGAGAAGAATTAAACTGGTACACTCTTGTCGAACCTAACCTTATAGTTGATAATGGTAGGTAATAATTTATTTTTACATTATTTAAGAAAACATGTATTCATACATTTTAATTACAATTAAACTCATTAGATGATCTCACACAATCGGATGGAGATGATAGTGTATCGGTCGCTGAAGATATTCCTCACCCCGTTGTAAATTTTGGTAACTAATGTTTAAATTTTAAATATATCTGAATCAAATTAATATTCTTAAGTACACATTAATTAAAAATTAAAATCAAACTTATTAGCTGATCTCACAGAATCGGATGGAGATGATAATGTATCAGTCGCTGAAGATATTGTTCACCCGGTTGTAAATTTTGGTAACTAATGTTTAAATTTTAAATATATCTGAATCAAATTAATATTTTTAAGTACACATTAATTAAAAATTAAAATTAAACTTATTAGCTGATCTCACACAATCTGATGGAGATGATAATGTATCAGTCGCTGAAGATATTGTTCACCCCGTTGTAAATTTTGGTAACTAATATTTAAATTTTAAATATATCTGAATCAAATTAATATTTTTAAGTACACATTAATTAAAAATTAAAATTAAACTTATTAGCTGATCTCACACAATCTGATGGAGATGATAATGTATCAGTCGCTGAAGATATTGTTCACCCCGTTGTAAATTTTGGTAACTAATATTTAAATTTTAAATATATCTGAATCAAATTAATATTTTTAAGTACACATTAATTAAAAATTAAAATTTAACTTATTAGCTGATCCCACACAATATGATGGAGATGATAGTCTATCAGGCACTGAAGACAATAATCAAGTAGCTGAGGATTCTGATGGTAGTGGAAATTTATTTATTACCAGACATGTGCAAGCTGTGATAAGTAATTCACCTGCACAGGCTAATTATAAGACATTTTCATATGATTAATTTCAGCGATTCTCAAACTATGGTACGCAGAAAGCTACATGGTGGCATGTGGGAGTGTGCGGCAGCAATAAGTTAATACTTGTGACGGATCTAATGTTAATTTATGTTTTGTTTAGATAGGTACTTAATATACTATTAAATGTACCTAAATTGTTATTGTTAAAAATGTATTGAACATTTTGAATAGTTCTGTTTTTAATAATTAGTGGTACATGGTCGATACATAATGCACATGAATGGTATGCAAAAAAAAATTTGAGAATCGCTGATTTAGTTAGTTTTGTTATTTTTTATTATAAATAAAATTATATATAATATGATACATTTTGTTTGATAATATATTAATATGGTTATTTTTATTAGGGAATGAAGATGATTTTATACTTGAGGAAGAATTAGATCCGGATATGGTCAACATGATGGAAATAGATAATCGGAGACGAGAATTAGAGATACAAAATATTCCTTTTGTGCAAGTACCTATAAATCTTCCTTTGCCACCAAACAGCAATATATGTGTAGTGTGCAAAGATTTAGAAAGAACACATGCCTTGATCCCATGTGGCCATAAAGCATTATGTGGTAATTGTGCCGAATTGTTGCAACCAAAGCGTTGTCCATTGTGCAAAGCGAATTTCAGTTCAACTCTACGTATTTGGTCATAATGTTCACTGTTTTTAATTTTTCTAATAACTTCTACTATAATTTGATTTTTATATTAAATAAACATTTAAATTTTATTTTGTACCATTATTTTCCTTTTCTTTTTTTTTTTTGTATAGAACAAAAATGTAAATATAGTTAATTTTTTAAGTATAGTATAGCTGTAATTGTTGAAAGCAGGGTTCACATGTTACACTATTAATTTCATAACTAACGCGATATATAGTACACTATATATACTTACAAGTGTACTAAACAGTCGTTAAGTCGTACACCATGTGAGTGTGTTAAACTCCTTTATAACTATTTTTTTTATAATATAATTGTAAATAATATAATATACACTTTTGTTAGTTGGTGTTGTAATGTATTATGATTAATGAATATGTCTGTATAATAAATACAACTAAGTTAAACACAACTTAGACCTTTTATTAAAATAATGTTTATTGAACGAGAGCACTACATAACGGTAGATACACTACAAGTCAGAGAACGGTCTACTATAGATAATGCTGACCGCTTAGTAATTACCCACTAATTATTATACTGATGGTTAAAATAGTTGAAAATGCCATAAACACATCTGATAATGAATTATAACTTTACAGTGTCTTATTTTCGCATATTATAAGTTAAATCTATAAAAGTAAGGTAGGTAGGTAGGTACCTACATTTAATATTTAAATATATTTTGAATATAGTCCTTAAGCTTGTCTTAAAACAAAACAACTCAATTATTAATACCTAAATACCTATTTAATGTATGTGGGACTTTCCACGGGGTGCCGCCACTGGGTGACTTCCCCCTCCTGTTTACCAAAAAATCTTCACATTTACTTATTGTATCACTTGTAAATACAGATTGTAAATATATTATGTTTGTTCAATAAAAAAAAAAAAAAAAAAATGTATGTGGTGTTCGGTGGCGCAACTAGGGCTGAAATGATGGGGGGCTGTAGCCCCCACCTGACGTTACATGTACTAACCCGTGAGGGCAATGCCCCCACACCCCTATATTTGTTCACTTAAAAATATAAAAAAATCATACAAACAAAATCAATTATTTATTTACTCAAGTATTGAATTATACTTTATTTTTTAATATTTATAATATAATTTTCAAACATTAACAATAATATTTTTTGCTTAATAATAATACCTTTATATTATATTATATTATAATATATCCCCGAAATAAAATATTACGTTTCCTAATAATATTTTAACGATATGTAAATAATAATTATTATTAGAAGTAGATTTTAAAAGTTTTACTTTATATAGGTAGATATTCAATATTTAAAAGATTATAAAATAAAAATATTTCGAATAATCGATACATCAAATAAAATAATTAACTACCTATTAAACAAATTGTTAATGAATGTAGGTACCTAATCAGTAATCTTTTAAAAGAACTATTAGCATATGTTGTTACACATCGTGATATAAAACATATATATTTAAGTATAATAATTATTTGTAATTAAATATTAATAATATAATGGCTGCATGCTAGTTGCGTCCCAAAGATAACTACGAAAAAGGGTAATCCGAATTGCGGCCCGAGTTTTTTTAACTCAAGATAGGTAATTATTTTCATCTTGACTGATAAAATATAATCACATTATCCATATTTTTTTTCAATATAAATTTAAAAAATAATGTTGATTGATATAGCTGTACTAAAAAGATTTATACAGCATATAATTAACTTAAATACTCGCAGAACAAATATAATTGAAAAAGTAACATTTATTAGAAATGCTATGAAACGGTTAAAAGAAAACCAAATTAACAAACTTGAATTTATACAAATACTATCATACCTACGAAGTTTACTCAATTATACTAACATTTTTAACTAAAATATCATATACGTTTTTACCAGTGCAAAATTTTTAAATAAAAACAAAACATAATTTTTAACCTACTTGCAATATCTACTGGTGCTACAGACAGTCTGTATACAAATGTGAAGGAAAATAAAGGTATTTTTAATTTTAATTTCCATGTTTCAATTAATTTAATTTTAAATTTCGGGCCGAAATTCGTATGCACCCTAAAAGAACTCGGGCCCCAATTCGGAAGAAATTTTTACCGCGGGACGCAACTATAGTAGCCACCAAATGTAATAATTACACCAATTATGTTTTAAAAATGCCATGTGATTGTCAGTAGTCATGTAATATTGTAGTCTGGCCCTGGGTGTTATTTTTCGTAGGGTCGGTTTTTTTTAGGGGAATTTTATTCCGCTATTACCTATCTATACATTTTTATATTGGACAAACTACCAACGATTTTTAAAAAAATCTTGGCTTAAATTTTCAGTCCTTAGATATACATTTTTTTTGAATTTTTAAGTACAACACAATTTGCACATTTTCGGGATTTTGATATAATTTATTTTGTCAACATTTTAACGTTAAATGCTTATAAAAAAATTCGTGGCTATGCATTTCTTAAATTTTTAAATTATAAATAGAATAAATTATGAAGAACCTTTTATTAAATTTTTCAGTTTTTTCATCCAAACAAAATATTTTCATCGTATTTATATAGTGTGTAAAATAATTTTAACATTCTGTGAAAATTGCAGGTATCTACATAATTAAACAATCCTAATTCATTTTTAGACCATATCATTTTAGATTCTGAGCGGAGCGATGAATGTATTGGTTTTACAATGATGTGTGTTTTTTTTTTTTATATTTTTATATTTTTTTATTTTTGTGTCTGTCATCACGTTTTAGGACAGTAAAAGTGCTAGGATTTTCTTCATCAGTAGCTTTTCTTATAGGAAAGTGAATCTAGTTGGTACTTTGGGGGGTCAAAAGTATAAATTTCCCTGCAGTTTTCACAAGCGCCGGGAAAAACAACATAAAAATTAAGGAAAAACGGGAATTTTTACGCAAAATTGGTTTTCCAAAAAATCGATTTTGGTTATTGGTATTGGTGTAACTCTAAAACAAATGAACGTATATACATGAAATTTTCACTGGTTGTTTATAATTGCATTTTATATACACGATGAAATTTTCAAAATATTTTGATTTATTTTGAACTGTTTAGGGACATTTTCATTTTTTTTAGGTTTTTTTCTAGAAAAATCAATAAAATTTTATTTGTTGGTTAAAAAAACTTGAAAATTTAATAGAAGACTCCTAGTATATTGTTTCAAAGGCAGATGAAAAATATTAAAAATCGTTAATCACAGTTTTTTTTTATAAGCATTTAAAGTTCAAAAATTGACAAAATATGGAAAAATCACGAAAATTAGCAAATTTATTGAGATTTGAAAATGTAATACAAGATTACTCATAAGTTTGTCTACCTTTATCAATAAAAAAATCTCTACCGGACAGTCAAATTAAATTTTTATGAGCGTTTGAAATTCAAATTCTTACAATATTGGATATTCACTCGATTTCTCATGTAGCGATTTCTTTATTTTGTTGCAATTCAAAAACAAACAACTGTAGATACATGAAAATTTCACCGAATGTTTAAATTAGCATTTTCTATACACCATACAATTTTGAAAATATTTTGACTCTTTTTGAGCTGTTTACGGACATTTTCAGTTTTCATTTTTTTTAGTTTTTTTTTTATAATTGTCAATAAAATTTTATTTGGTGGGCCAAAATGTCTGAAAATTTAATACAAGCTTTCTTATATATTGTTACAATATCAGTTGAAAAATTTTAAAAATACATAGGCACGATTTTTTTTTATAAGCATTTAAAGTTGGAATTTTGACAAAATTTATCAAAATCTCGAAAATAATCAATCGTTGGAATTAAAAATTATAAAATGTTCAGTTTTTATAACTAAGAGTTGAAAATTTAAAACAAAGATTCTCTTAAATAATTCATACTGTAACCAAAAAATCTAAAAAATATATAAACACACTTATTTTTTACAGACATTTTAATTTCAAGTTTAGACAAAATTTCATATTTAAACCAAGAATTACGATTTTAGTTATTTTGTTGTGATTGAATAATATTATTCGTGGATACTTGAAACTTCTAATGTGTACTATTATATATCTATGATAGTATCACGGTTTTTGTTGATGTATAACGCGTTATAAGTATCTAATGGATATTGTGATATGATTAATTTGGAATTTATTATAGGTACCTATTATAGGTCAATTTTTTTATACTATAGACAAGTATATAATATGTCTTATACAGTTATACCTAGACTGACGTACCGTCACCGCTCAGAATCGTTTTTCTTATACAATGATATTATATCATTGAATTCAAATTTAATACCATCCATTATACAGTGACCCACTTGTAACCTACTGTACAGCAGAGCGACACCCACTTGCCCACCTTTTTTTCTTTTGATTTTTATGTATTTCTGAATTTGATAGTTCTCGGCACTATTTTTTCTAAAAATAAAATCCCGATTTTGACGGTTCCTGAAAAATATTTTTCCCAAAATTGAATTTCCTGCATAAGAAGTTTCCTATGAAATACTGTTTCAGATTTTTTTCGTTCGTCTAATATACACTGCATGTAATTAAACAATTCTAATTAATTTTATCCCTGATTTTGATGTTTCCTGATTTGGATGCATTCCCGAATTTAATTGTTCCTGAAATTATTTTTTCTAAAAATAAAATTCCCGATTTTGACGGTTCCTGAAAATTATTTATCCCAAAATTGATCTTCCTGCGTATGCATTTTCCTAAGAAATACTGTTTCATGTTTTTATGGTTCCTATAATAAATCGTTCATGTTGTTAAACAATCCTAATCAATTTTTTCCTGATTTTGATGTTTCATGATTTAGATGCATTCCCGAATTTAATTGTTCCAGAAATTATTTTTTCTAAAAATAAAATTCCCGATTTTGATGGTTCCTGAAAATTATTTATCCCGAAATTGATTTTCCTGCATATAAATTTTCCTATGAAATAATGTTTCATGTTTTTTTGGTTCCTATAATATATCGTTCATGTCGTTAAACAATCCTAATCAATTTTTGTCCTGATCATTTTTTTTCCTGATTTTGACGCGCTTCCACATGGGCCATCTAACCATATTATATATATAACCATTTATTACTTATCGAAATTGTATCTTTCTCTTGGCCAATAAATATTATTATTATTATTAATATTATTATTATATTACTTTAAATTTATCCAGAGAGCACAGTGATCAAACTTCTTCAAATACACAAATTTCAGTCCCACCTGTACCTGTTGATATAGTTCCAAATCCTGCTATAACTGAAAATTGTACACCTGCTATTTCAAAAGCTGCAAAAGTCTCTTGTCACTGTAAAACTTCAAGTTGATCAAGCCACATTTCAAGTACCCATACATATTGTTCCAGACGATGCGTAAAACATTCCATTAATAATTGGCCAGCCATTCATTGAACAACCACACATAGTGCTAGTGAAGCGCGGAGACATGGTGCGCATATATGAAGATTATAAAGAAGGAATTGACATATTGGATATGGATATCCCTACGTTACCTCCTCGTGCAATAAGTTTTTGGGCTAAGAAATCTGAAGTGATTTCGCCGAATCATGTAGGTGTCATTGAAGTACGGATGATGTTGATTTATATGTTAAAGCTCAGATTAGAGACTATTGTTGCATTCCAAGTTGTGTCATAACTACGGATGAACAAGGTAATGCACGGATACCAGTTATAAACTTTTCGATGTCAGATGTTTAGTTTAAGGAAAACGCGAAGATTAGTAGAGCTATTCTGTGTATAGAAGCACACAGGAAGAACACAAGGAAGCATGATGGAAAATAATAAAGTGACCATTAAGCACGGAGACCAACTAACTTAAAGAAGAAAGCCAAGCACTTACAGACTTAACACAAAAATATCGAGGATGTTTTGCAACAAACATGAACGAATTGGGTATGGTTAAGGGTACATAATGTGAAATAATAACAACAACAAATGAACAGGTGACTTTCCGACCGTACCACCTAAGTGATAGGGAACGAAAATTAGTGTGAAGCGTACCGTAATTATTAAATAAATAGAACGTTGCGTCGCGCTTGAATTGTGTAGTCAATACGAGTTGTATTGAGAGGATGATGCCGCTCCCGGAGACGGTTTCAATCCCTCGCTCACACGTCGGTAAGCGACCGAAGTGGTCGTGGTATAAAGGCTCATTTACATGGCGGCAGTACTGTCGTGATACCACTGCCATGTGATTGCATGACAGCTACTGTCACACGAGGTATACCGTATACACATTGACGCTATGGTGATACCTAGTGATAGTCACTGGCAGTGGATGATTTTCGTAGAACTATTGAATTGTTTGTTTGATTTAAGTGCTTACATCTTGAAGTTTTTAAACTTAATTTGATTTTATTTTAATTAATTATTATTCGTTATTTAATATTTAAATAACCATCTAAATTAATAATGTCCGAACCAGTGGTAAGTGCAATGATTAGAGTCATTGGTGAGATGATTGTTTTGAAACAAAAACAAAAACTAAAAGTAGAAAAAGAGAATGGGTAAGAAAATGGATAGGAAGAAGATCTGCCTTAGGAATTTCCAACACTCTCATTAAGGAACTTGCTGCTGAAGACACAACAAGTTTTTATAACTTTTTACGAATGAACGAAAATATGTTCAACACATTACTTGAAATGGTATATATTATGTTACATATTTTGTTTATTCCCAACTTATCATCAATGACTTAAAGACTTACTTAACTTTTTATTTTATTTAGGTCAATTATAAAATTCAGAGACAAAACAGTGTTATGAGGATGGCTCTTCCAGCCAAATTGAAATTGCAAATCGCTTGTCGATATTTAGCTACTGGAGATTCACTAGCAACACTGCAATACATGTATAGGGTTCCAAAGTGTAGTATCAGCAAATTTTTACCAGAAGTTTTTGATGCTATTTATGAAGCATTGAAGAATTATATTGAGGTAAAAATATAAATAGGTGTAATATGAAACTCCATGTACATTTTTAAATTCAAATAAATCTGTTTTACTTTCTGGTATAAACCTTTATTAAATATTTGACAACCTGTCATATCAACATAATAATATTATAAATCATAAAAACATAACAATATTAGAATAATTAACAACTGTGACTTTTTTGACAAATCAATATTATACAATTTTAAAATAAAAAAAAAAAAAAAAAGTATGCTTAATAACTATACGAGTATAACTCATTAGGCATGGTATACAATTAACTTTATTAAATATTTGACAACCTGTCATATCAACATAATAATATTATAAATCATAAAAACATAACAATATTAGAATAATTAAAAACTATGACTTTTTTGACAAATCAATATTATACAATTTTAAAATAAAATAAAAAAAATAGTAAGCTTAATAACTTTATAACTCATTAGGCATGGTATACAATTACCTTTATTAATCATCTGTAAAGCTGTCCTCGGGAGCCCAATTCATAAAGTATGTACCTGTAGTTGGTGATCTTTGTATATTATCAATCACAGAATATGATTCCTCATAAACAGGGCTTTTTGAATGGTATATATTGTTTGAAGTATTTGGTAAGCAATCTACAGAAGTTGAGAGAGGTGAACTAGATAAATTACGAACACTACGAATACGTGCTTCGTTAATTTTTAATTGTATTTCTTGTTGTAAGACAAGAGCCTCTTCTAACGGAAGTTTGGACAACTGAAGACCAATCAGTTGTCCAAACATACAAAACTCATTATTTGATGTGTGTGATGATGAAACTTCTCTGAGTGCTTTAACTGCGTCGTCTAAAGAAGTATCTATTTTTTTTATTTTTATTAGATTTTAAAAAGTTTTTTGATCTCTTTCGAATATTGACAGGTGTTGAAGTGATATGTTCTTCATGTTCTTTTTCGTTATTCGAGTTTGAGGTTTCATTTATAGTTTCATTTATACATTCTACTTCTGCCATCTGTAAAAATAATATTAATTATTGTATAATATCTACAAAATTTACATATTCATTTTTAACTATAGTTATATTCTTATTTAATTTTAAAGGTACCAAAAAACCAAAATGAGTGGAAAAATATTTGAAACGAATTTGATATCAAATGGAATTTCCCATCATGCATTGGAGCACTAGACGGGAAGCATATAGTGATTCAATGTCCACCAAATACTCACAATATTATAATTATAAGGGTACTTTTAGTATTGTGTTACTAGCTTTGGTTGATGGTAACTACAATTATACATGTGTTGATATTGGCAGCTACGGGAGCCAATCAGATGGAGGGATTTTCGCCAAATCAAATTTAATGAAAGCAATTGAAAATAGTAAATTAGAAATTCCTCCTGAAAGTGTGATATTAGGTGATGAAGCATTTCAACTAAAAACCTATCTGATGAAACAGTATCCTCGTAAATTTCAACAACCAGTCAAAGAAAAAGTGTTTAACTACAGATTATCTCGTGCCAGACGTATAGTTGAAAATGCGTTTGGGATACTCTCAAGTCGTTTTCGGGTTTTCAGAAGACCCATAATTCTTGCAACACACACCACAATAAAACTTATAAAAGCTGCATGTGCATTGCATAATTGGATTAGAAAGAACAATTGTGAACCTTGCATAACAGTTGATGTAGAAGATCATGAAAATCAATGTATCATTTCTGGAAATTGGAGAACTGGTCAAAGTTCTGAGAACTTATTACCATTATGCGCCACACAAGAGAGAAACTTTATTCAAGGAGCTCGTCTTAAGCGAGATGGACTTTCTGATTTTTTTATGGGAGATGGGGCTGTTCCCTGGCAGTACAATATGATTCAATAAAGTATTATTAGTTTAAGTTGAATAATCATTAATGTATAGTTAATATAATTAATATAATAAATAATAATATTAATACCTAATCAATATAATTAATGTATAAGTATTTGAATAATGTAATAAAATAAACATATTATGAATTACCTAACCAATCCAGTTTGTATATTATAGATAATATATAACCACTTAAACTTAGGTAGATGATACAAATTTTTAAACCTATTTTCAATTTTTTAAACCTAAGAATTAATGATTTTGTCCAAGGTACATTCATACCACTTTGGAAAGAATGTAATTTTTTCAGACCTTAATACTAATTTTTTGTCTGATATTAATTATACTCTCCCTATCTATGAAGTACACAAATCAAATTAATAAAATAATCAACTCACCAAGTTTGATTCAGTCTGCATATTTAGATCAACATTTTTTCTTAAAAAACTGTCGGCATATGAGAACCATTGTAATTTAGGCTTATATACAGTGTGTTCACGCTAAGAGGTACCACTAAATATCTCAGCTGGATGACTTCTGATTGAAATGGGGTTTTCAAGAGGTGATAGGGAGTACTTAAATACACATTTTCAGACAAATTTCAAGTTTTTAACACTTTCGATACGCGCATGCGCGATACAACTTACTTTTTTTTAAATGGTAACACCATTTTTTTTTTTACATATTCGGATAGAGTATTTTTTTCTAAACAATTTATGTATAAAAAGTTTTTTTCTAATTACACTATTTAACGATGAAATTTAATATTTACGAGTAATTTGTTTTTGACGAAATTTAAAACTATAAATTCAACTTATTGTTACTTATTAGTATCCAATTATTGTTAAATACCTGTTTGCACACAGATAAGATAATAAAAATAACTTTGACTTTAAATTTTGCCTGTAATTAAGATAGTAAATCCTGTTCGTTATACATTTATTTTATAAATAAATGTTGATAAATTATTTTCGCTGACTAGTAATAATTGTTTTAATAATTTCAAACTAGTCTTGTGACAATTACTGTTACGTGTTATTTTTTGTTCTGGTTAGATATCACATGTTTTTCTGAAAATATCGTTATTGCTTTAATACACTGTTTTACTTGAAAGAACTGTATTAAAATGAATAGCAGTGAAAAAGTCGAACTTATTCTTATTTTTGGTGAATGTAATCGTAATTCTCGACAAGCAGCTCGGTTGTACGCAGATCGATATCCAAATAGGTATCATCCGCATCATAATTATGTCTTTAGACTTTTACGTGGATTAAGTGAAAACGGTCAATTTCCTAGCAATGAAATCAGACAACGGCAGCCTAGACCAAATAATTTTGATTAAGACACAGAATTGCAGGTAATGGCCTACATACGTGCTTATCCACGATCATCAATAAGACATGTATCTCGTGAAATTGGTGTATCAGTTGGTGCAGTACATAAAATTTTGAAAAAAAACAAAATGCACGCATATAAACCCGAGTTTGTTCAACATTTACGAATCGGAGATTCTGAACGTAGATTACAATTTTTGTCATGGTTTAGCGTTCAATTTGAAATCGACAATTTATTTTATAAAAATATTTTGTGGACTGATGAATCTAAATTCACAAACAATGGTGTAATGAACAAACAAAACAATAGGTTTTGGGACGATACAAATCCACACTGGTCCCGAGAAACTAACTTTCAGACAGTTTGGGGTATAAATGTGTGGTGTGGATTAATTGGTGGAATACTTTTAGGTCCTTATTTTTACGATGGAACACTTTCAGGTAGAAGAATACTAGATTTTCTTGTTAATCAATTACCGTTACTGCTAGAAGATGTTTCATTAGCCACGCGGGAAAATATGTATTTTCAACTGGACGGTGCACCAGCACACAACGCCATCATTGTTAAAAATTATTTAAATGAAATTTTTCCTAACCGATGGATTGGTACCAATGGAGTAATTCCATGGCCAGCAAGATCTCCAGACTCGACCCCATTGGATTTTTTTTTATGGGGGCATTTAAAAAATGTTGTATATGCAGATCCACCTATTAATCTCCAAGATTTAAAAAACAAAATACGACTGGCTTGTAGTAATTTGAGAAGAGAACAAATAAACGCTGCCACATCAACGGAATTATTAAAACGTTTGGAATCATGTTTGGAACATCAAGGTGGAAACTTCGAACAATTTATTAGATAGAACTGTAGAACGTAATTGCAAATAAATAAAAATTGATTTCAAATTCAAAATGTGTACAATTTTATAGTTTTCATTACCTTCATTTAGCTATCTTATTCACGATTACTACGTTTACTATCTTAATTACTGGCAATTGTTGTCAAAGTTATTTTTATTATCTTATCTGTGTGCAAACAGGTATTTAACAATAATTGGATACTAATAAGTAACAATTATTTGAATTTATAGTTTTAAATTTCGTCAAAAACAAATTACTCTTAAATATTAAATTTCATCGTTAAATAGTGTAATTAGAAAAAAACTTTTTAGGTATACATAAATTGTTTAGAAAAAAATACTCTATCCGAATATGTAAAAAAAAAATGGTGTTACCATTTAAAAAAAAGTAAGTTGTATCGCGCATGCGCGTATCGAAAGTGTTAAAAACTTGAAATTTGTCTGAAAATGTGTATTTAAGTACTCCCTATCACCTCTTGAAAACCCCATTTCAATCAGAAGTCATCCAGCTGAGATATTTAGTGGTACCTCTTAGCGTGAACACACTGTATATCACTTGTCCCAGATCCTGTTCTCATAGATTTGTTTATTTTCCCAACTTCCTGGTTGTACGTACCACGAATACTCCTAATTTCCGCCCGAAGTTCTTTGATGTTGGCAAGACCTGATATGGGTAACAATTGTTCTTCGGCTGCATCTCTTTTTAATCGGTTATGAAAATCTGGTATGGTCTTATTCCACAAACATGGATGTTCTTCATAGCTTTTAAGAAATTCTATAGTGTCAAATAGCTTAGAGGACATGACTATTCACTATAATTTATGATATTTAAAATTTAAAATTTAAAATTTAAAATTAACCGATTACACTCTAGTAGACACGTGCTATAACATTATGATAACACAATAGATAGAACTATGACAGTATGACCATAGAATAATATAGAAGCGACACTCGCCCCTCCACTTTAATTGTTTTTATTTCGTGGCGGACTGATTGATGTTGTAAGCTTGGCGGTAAGGCATGATGTTAGGATCGCTTTTATCGCCGAAACAGAACGCTCGAGACCAGCCCGCCAAAGTTTAAAAAAAAGGTCACTTCATAGTACTATCTTAGATTAAATAACCATATAATATATATTTTATAGTACATAAGTACATAACTATATAATAATAATGTTATAATGACTATGTACCTATATTCTTTTATGATACTACCATACATATTATATAAACATATTTATAGAAAGCCATATTCGAGGCAAAAAAAAAAAAACCATAAATACATTAAGAAAAAAGGTGGGTAAGTGGATGTCGCTCTGCTGTACAGTAGGTTACAAGTGGGTCACTGTATAATTGATGCTATTAAATTTGAATTCAATGATACAATATCATTGTATAAGAAAAACGATTCTGAGCGAAGACGGTATGTCAGTCTAGGTTTAAGACAATTATATACATTACTATGGTATTAAAAAAAAATTGACCTATAATAAATTCCAAATTAATCATATCACATTATCACAATATCCATTAGGTACTTATAACACGTTATACATCAACATCAATAAAAAACCCTGATACTATAATAGATATATACCTAATAGTACACTTTAGAAGTTTCAAGTAGGTATCCACGAATAATATTATATAATCACAACAAAATAACTAGGTTTTTTAATATGTAATTTCGTCCAAATTTGAACATAAAATGACTATAAAAAATAACTGTGCTCATATATTTTTTAGATTTTTTGGCTACAGTATGAACTATTTATAAGAACCTTTGTTTTAAATTTGCAATCCTTAGCTATAAAAACTGAACATTTTATAACTTATTAATTACGATGATTAATAATTTTCGAGATTTTGAAAAATTCTGTCAAAATTCGATGTTAAAATGCTTATAAAAAAAAATTGTGAATATGTATTTTTAATATTTTTCAACTGATATTGTAAGAATATATCAGGAGCCTTGTATTACATTTTTACACTTTTTGGCCCAACAGATAAAACTTTATTGATATTTATAGAAAAAAAAAACTAAAAAAATTGAAAACTGAAAATGTCCGTAAACGGCTCAAAAAGAGTCAAAATATTTTCAAAATTGTATGGTGTATAGGAAATGCCAATATAAACATTCAGTGAAATTTTCATGTATCTACAGTAATTCGTTTTTTAATTACAACAAAAAAAGGAAATTGTCACATGAGAAATCGAATGAATATCCAATGTTGTAAAAATTTGAATTTCAAACGCTCATAAAAATTTAATTTGACTTTCCGGTAGAAATTTTTTTATTGATAAAGGTAGACAATCTTATGAGTAATCTTGTATTAGATTTTCAAATCTTAGATTTAAAAAGAAAAATTTTTACGAATTCTTAACTCAAAATAATTTGCTAATTTTCGTGATTTTTCCATATTTTGTCAATTTTTGAACTTTAAATGCTTATAAAAAAAAACTGTGACTTACGATTTTTAATATTTTTCATCTGCCTTTGAAACAATATACTAGGAGCCTTCTATTAAATTTTCAAGTTTTTTTAACCAACAAATAAAATTTTATTGATATTTCTAGAAAAAAAACTAAAAAAAAATGAAAAATGAAAATGTCCCTAAACAGTTCAAAATAAATCAAAATATTTTGAAAATGTTATCGTGTATAGAAAATGCAAATATAAACAACCAGTGAAAATTTCATGTATCTACGGTCATTTTTTTTAAAGTTACACCAAAAACCAATTTCGATTTTGTCAAAAACCGATTTTGCTTAAAAATTCCCGTTTTTCCTTAATTTTTATGTTGTTTTTCCCGGCGCTTGTGAAAACTATTGGGAATTTTAAATTTTGACCTCCCCAATGCACCAACGATATTCACTTTCCAATCGAACAAGATACTGAAGTCGAAAATCGAAGCATTATTTCGACTACTTATCGTGTACACAGACACAAAAAAAAATAAAAAAAAAAACACACATCATTGTAAAATCAATACATTCATCGTTTCACTCAGAATCTAAAAGTAGTTTTTATGCAAAACCAGATTTCAACAAAAATCGGTTTTTTATCTAGTTCCCTGACTATTTTGAATATAATGAAGGTGCTAATTGTTTGAATGACTTAGACCAAGTATTGACTACCCTGAGCAAAATACCAGCAGAAGATTTGAAAACAATATTCCCTGACAAGCAGAAAGTAATTCACATTAATTCATTACCCATTGATGCAACCCATTACAGGTCATTAGAATTACCAGAAAGAAATGCTTTTACACATATATGTGGTTATTTGATTATGAAATGTTTTAACATGCATTCTTGTGAGTTGTGAAACATGTATAGGATATGGCAGATATACCACAAAGTTATCTGATGAACTTTTTTTTACACACTTCAAAGCACATCAACACAGTTCTATATCAATGTTTTCATCGTTAATGACCCCAGATTGTACTTTTTACCAGTATATTTTTGAATTAGACACTATATTTACAAATCAATTTCCTACTTTAGCACCATTACCAAAAGTAGGGCAAAAACTAAAAACTTTAATGTTAAATGTGTACTTTGAACATCCCTGTGAACAATTCCCTCATGAATATGTGTTAAACTTATTTATAAGATTTAGAATTTATAATACGTTAACCAGAACCAATCGAAATTTGCAAATTCCTCGCACAAAAAATAGAAAATTGCAAATTTTATGTAATTTATAAATATTTTTATGTATATATTATTTTTTTATTTGATAATGTAGTTAGTAATTTTGTATAAAACATGGTCTGTAAATAAAAGAATTTAAAAAGTAGTTATTAATTGGTTATTTTATGTTAAAATGTGTTGTTATATCATTTTATTATCTAGTTTGTATATTTTGTATTTAAGTAAATTGTAATTCTCTACCTTCAACCATAGAACATTAATGTTCTATGCTTTAACACAAGCATGTCTTATACCCTTATAGAAGGTAGATAATGCATTGTATATGTTAAATAATAAGTAGGTACCTATATACATTAATACATTAATAGGTATCTGAAAAAACTATTAACAATATTATTAAATAAATATCTTAAAAAAATATACTATCTGTAATCCGTCCATCGATCATATTCATGTCGTAAAAGTGGGAAAACATTAAAAATTAAAAAAATTGACGTAGTACTATTATAATTTATAAATTTTAATACTCTTATCGCACGATTATCAACAAGAATGATGTTGTAAGCTTGGCGGTAAGATAAGAAGTTACGGACAATTTCAAGGCCATGAAACATTCTAGACTCATTAACGTTGGCCGCCCGAGAGTGTCGCTTCTATATTATTCTATGGTATGACAGTTTAAATGAACAGTGGTTACACGATAACAGTCTACGATAGCTGCTGTCATGCAAGCGCGATAGTAATGCCAACTATCTAGCTCAGCAGATAGTGTGACAGTACTATCATAGTGTCATGACAGTTACTACCAAATAATTTACACCATGACAGTTCCTTGCCAGTGACTGTCGTGACTGCGACTATCAAGGTTTACTGCCGCCATGTAAATGAGCCTTAAAGCAATGCGCGAGAGGCAGTACGACATCTAGTGAGCGTTGTTAGGTTTTAGTTTTACTGTCGAAGATCCTTAAAGATTATCTTTTTTTTAGAAAGTACAGTCAAGAATATTTCACCGTTGACTTGGTGGTTAGCCTTAAAAAAAATATAACTCATGAAATGTTAGAAGTGGTGACACGACTATTTACAGCTGTAGCTTCATTGGTAGGTATAGAACGTATTTTTTAACATATGGCTTAGTGCATTCCAAAATAAGGAATAGGTTAGAAGTTGAAAAATCTTCAAGATTAGTGGCAATTTTTAATCCTTAAATAAACATTGTGACACTAAAATGGATACTTAATTTATTTATTTTTTATTATTACAAGGACTATAGTTGTAAGTTTCACTTAGTACCTACTACCTAATATTGTTTTAAAAAGTAAAAAGTAAAAAGTTTAATTTTGTTTTTTCTTGTTTTTTGTTATACTGACCAAAAAATAAATTTATTTTTGTTTTTACTTATTAGTGTTGTTATTTTGTTAATGTCTTATTTTACCTATTACCTAATCTTTAACTATATTTTAGGTACTTAGTACCTACTGTAGTAAACCGACGTTTTTACACAAAAACGGCGTTCCAAAGGTTAGGTGGCCTGAACAACATCACGCCACCAAAATATTCCATTGAGGCTGCCGCCTCATTGGTTAATACTGATCGACTACGCATCACGCCATTCCTATGACGTCAATCATCCTTTCCTAAATCCCGGGCATGTCTCATATAAATAGGGGCCCTGTTTCACAGACTTTTCAGACAGAAGTAATTACCAGTGCTTTACAATACTTGTGTGGGTCACGGACTAGAAACAGCCGCATCGCCGTCCACATCAAGTATAATCTAAATTACAACTATTCTCCGGTAGAATTATTATTCTGTCGACAAATTTTAAATTACTAAAATTAACTATATTATTAGTTTCGTGTTAATAAACATTATATCTATAATTAACTACATTTTGTGTTAAACTATTCTTACTCTACCTTCACTTCAACCACCATCCTCCGATTCATTGAGACGACGTGTATGTGCATTCGTCGTTAAAGAAGTGTGCAGTAACCAATCAAGTGAGAGCGACGGGTTACTACATAAAATTTGGTGTCAGGTGAGGGGTTGCACTTCATCAAACGAAAACTTTTCGAGACATCGGAAAAAGTACTTTGAGACCCACCGACGAAACCACGTTCACAACGTCAAGGAGGAGTGAGGACAGTAAGAACATTCAATCAAGAGCATTCCAATCAAGGTCAGTCCAGGGAGGACGGTAAGAGCATTCAATCAAGGGCAGTCCAGGAAGGACGTTTTCAAAAATCAATTTTTTCACGGGCAATTAAGACTACAGGATGCAAAATTTGTAAGTCATTTGAATAAAATATTGTATGTCTGTAGATAGATCTAATTGGCAAATTGTTGCGTATAATCCCGTTACACTAATAATTAAAATGGCTAATCCAGATCAATTAAGTTTAGAAGGGGCAATCAAGTTAGTACCTTCATTTTCGGGGGGATCAGAATCGGATTTAGCTTCCTTTTTGGCTAAATGCAAATTCATTTTTAAGAGTATCCCTAATACTTTGAAACCCATTATTTTAGAAGCCATAATAACCCAGCTAAAAGGTAATGCATTTGAGGCCGTTAGGTATAAGGTAATTACCACCTGGGACGAATTAAAAAATTTATTTAAAACCGTTTTTGGTTCGGCACATTCAGTGTCGTACTTACAGGTACAATTAAGTCAGATGCGCCAAAATTCAAAAGAATCTGTTAAAGAGTTCTCGATTAGGATCGAAAAAACTGCACACGAATTAACACACGCGTTAACGGTAGATAAAGACCCAGCGCAAGTAAATATTATAGCTCAAACAGTGCAAGCGCATGCACTAAGCGTATTCATAGCGGGAGTCTCACAAACTATCGGAATTATATTAAAAGCGCGCAATATTCAAGTATTCGAAGTGGCAGTTTTACACGCAATGGAGGAGGAAAAATCCTCCGAATATTTTAACGCGTTCGGGAATAATCATTTTCAGAATAATAAAAATAAATTCGATAAAAAAAAGTTCAACGATAAAAGCGCGGTTAAATGCCACCGTTGCGAACGAGTCGGTCATTACGCAAACGAGTGTAGAACTAGCGAACATAAATTACCTACTTTTAGGAATCCGAACAGCGGTCAAAGTCCGAAGACAGAAATTAAACGCGAATATTCTAGCAAATTCTGCAAATATTGTAAAAAAACGAATCACGACATTAGCGAATGTCGGAAATTAAAATATAATGAGAAAAAGAAACTCGAGGAGAAAAATAATAGGAGCGATCAAAATAGATCCATCGAAGAAATACAATCGGGAAGTAAAGTACGCGTAATAACGCCTATAACGCGGGAACATATAAAATGTTTTTCCGATAAATTTGTTAAAAGCGAAATCAAATTTTTAATTGATAGCGGTTCTGAAATGAACATTATAAAAATTTCAAGCTTAAAAGGGCATATAATTGTAAACGAAAAAGATAAGAAAAAAATTAAAGGTATTCATGCAAGTCCAGTAGAGACAGTGGGAACAGTAGTGATTCCAATTTATATTAACAAACAACCTTTCGTAGTAAAATTCGACATTGTGCATGATAATTTTCCAATACCCGAAGCAGGTATATTAGGCATATCATTTTTGAAACTAAATAAGGTCGTTTTGGATTGGGATAAAGAAGTATTAATAATCCCAGAAAAAGTAATTAATAACGCACTAATTATTCCGCCGAGGAGTAATTGTGTATTACAAATAAGAGCCGACGAAGAAATCAATTACGAAGCAATAACGATAAAAAAATATGAAATTAATGAAGACGTAATTATAGCTAATAGTATCAGTCCGGTCAAAGGTGATAAAATAATAAGTAATATAATAAATATATCCGAACAACCGTTTATAATCGAACAATTAACCACGAGTAATTTTAAATGGGAACCGTACCATGATAACGTTTTTATTGCTAGCGAAAGCAACAACTACTCTTCGAATAGAATTAAAAGGATCAAAGAAACTATTAATACCGAGCATCTTAATCACGAAGAACGCGATAACATATTAGACCTGTGTAGTCGTTTTTCTGATCTATTTTTTCTCGAAGGCGATCTTTTGAGTGTAACTGACATTGTTACGCATAAAATTAATACACCTAGATGTGTTAAACCAATTAACATACGTCCATATAGGCTACCGCACGCGTACCAGGACGAGATAGAAAACAAGTAAAAGAAATGAAAGACGCGAATATAATACGTAATTCGTTATCACCATTTAATTTTCCATTAGTGGTAGTAAAAAAGAAAAAAGATCTGAACGGTAACCAAAAGCTACGAGTATGTGTAGATTTCCGAAAATTAAACGAGGTTACGGAAAATGAAGCATACGGCTTACCGAATATATTAGAGATACTAGAATCCTTAGGCTCATCTAAGTACTTCTCTACACTTGATCTTGCCAGCGGTTATCATCAAATAATGATTGATAAGGGAGTCACCCATAAAACAGCATTTTCTACAAAATCAGGGCATTATGAATTTTTACGTTTACCATTTGGACTTAGTTCTGCGCCGGCAACTTTTACTCGAGCCATGAAATCTATTTTAATGGGCTTGGAAGAGTTATGTACGGCGTATCTAGATGACATTGTAGTCCAAGGGTCAAGTTTAGTAGATCACCAGAATAGGTTAGAGCAGGTGTTTACTCGATTAAGACTACATAAACTGAAATTGCAACCTAGTAAATGTATGTTTCTACGTAAAGAGGTGTTATATTTAGGGCACGTGATCAGCGAAAACGGGGTAACGCCTGATCCAAACAAATTAAGTTGTATTAAAGAATATCCGAGACCACTAAACGAGAAAGACGTAAAGTCATTCTTAGGTTTATTAAATTATTACCGCTGATTCGTTGATAACTTTGCCAAAATAGCAAAACCTCTTACTAGCTTATTAAAGAAAAACACACCGTTCGTGTGGACGGACATGTGTGAAGAAGCATTCCAAGAATTAAAAAACGCGTTAATGAATCCACCTCTACTTATCTACCCTAGTTGGGAAAACGGAAATTTTAACCTCATGACCGATGCAAGCCAATACGCAATTGGAGCGGTCTTGTCTCAAGGTGACGTACCTAAAGATCAACCCATAGCTTACGCAAGTAGAACTTTAAATACCGCCGAAACAAACTATAGCGTAATACAAAAAGAATTGTTAGCGATAGTATGGGCTGTAAAGTATTTTAGGCCTTATTTATACGGGAAAAAATTTAAAATAATCACCGATCACCGTCCATTAACGTATTTATTCAATATAAAAGACGTTTCGTCTCAGTTAATGCGATGGCGATTACAGCTCGAGGAATACGATTACGAAATAATCTATAGAGCAGGCTCACAACATTCGAACGCGGATTGCTTATCACGTATACATGTTGTTACACATGATGAGCCAATTAGCGATTTCGAAGAGAGTAAAAAAGCAGAAGCTAAACCGATTTTTAATTCCAAAATAACGGAAATAGAGGGAAGTATAAAACACGCGCAAAATAATGAAAATATAATTTTACCTATTTCGAATGATAAAATAATAACGCATCCAGCGATAAGAGATGTAATAAACAATAACGATTTACCGCCGCAGGTAATTTTTAATGATAATAATAATTTTGTTTCGATTGAACAAACCGACAAATTAGTAATATTCTATAATCTTAAAAATAATCATTATACGACAATTAACGCCGAGAATTATTACGACGCTATTAAAGAGATTAAAATATATTGTATTGAAAAACAAATTAATCAATTCTCGACTATCAGGCTAGAAGGGTTAACAACGTTGACCTGCTACGAGCGCATACGCACGATGTTCCGTTACATATTCCGAAACACTGATATAGCAGTAACTATTTATAAAAAACAAATTTTTAAGGATGACAACGGAAATATAACAATAAAGATGGGGAGGAAGGACTATAGGATCCACGTAAATAATACAAAAAACATATTTCGAGACCGATTTATGAACACTTCGGTGTCATAACATATATATATTTTTAGCTATAGGATCCTTCAATTTTCTTTTATTGTTATAGGTAGTCATAAACTAGTCATTGTTATATTATTATCGTAGGTGAAAACATATTAAGTTAACCAACATATAAAAAAAAAAATAAGGTTATTAATTATTATGATAATTTTAATAAAGGCTATAAATAATAAATAGGTATAAAATAATAATAACGTAGATAAGGATTTAATTACGAAGTTTTTATTTTTCTAAGTGGGGAAAAAATTAAAAAACAAATCCGATAATCCATACATCTCTCAGACATTACAATATATTATTCCAATGACAAAATTGTATTTATTGTAAATTTATTTTTTTTTAGTATACCGACATGAATTAACTCTTTTTCAGCTAATACCAATACCAAATTGTGACCAAAATAATTGTTTATATGTAAAACCTAATCATAATCATAATTATAAACAGTCGTTATTCAGACGTCGTAGCGTACGGTTCTCTCAGTACCTACTTTATCTTTTCAACTAACGATATAATTAATTTTTGTTATCATAATTTATTTTAGTGTTAACTTTATTGAACTTTTACGGAATAAGTACTTTTTGTTATCATAACATTTGATTATCTTTTCACAATGTCCACTTCAACCAATGAAACGCTTGATACCAAGGAGACTCTCAAACAAATTTTGGATACGGTGAAGGAACTTAAATCTACACAAAACAAAATCATTACTTCTATTAATTCATGCCTGGAATCCAACAAAACCCAGGAAAAAAAGTATGTTATTATTGAGTCTAAATTAGATACCCTATCAAATCAACTAGCTGAAGTTATTTCTGAAAATAAAACCTTAAAAGCTAAAATTGAGCAGATAGAAGGCAAAATAACAACTTTAGAAACTACGGCTTCCCCTGGAGCTAACGTTGAATCAGTTTACTCTGAACTTATGGACCGCCAATCTCGAGCTCGTAATATAATATTTTTTAATATACAAGAATTTAATTCTTTACCTGATCAGTTAACTGACACTCTTACTGTTGATGAAATACTCAAAAGCATTGATTTAAAAATTAATCCAGTGTCTGTCCGTCGCTTGGGCAAACAATCAAATAAACCACGTCCTCTGCTCACTACCTTACCAAATTCATCCGATGTCTTTGAAGTCTTAAAAGTAAAACGTAAATTACTTAGTACTGCTATCTTCAAGGATATTCGCATTGCATCGGATCGGACAACTCAACAACGGCAATTTTTCACTAAAATTGTATCTCAACTTAAACAACGTAATGATAACGGCGAAGATAATTTATTTATCAGATACATCAACAATGTTCCTACTATCTCAAAAAACTTATAACATCAACTACCTCAAAAAATCTTTCTGTTTATTATCAAAATGTCCTGACCAAATTAGATGTATTTATACGTAACCTAGCACTTCTTAATTATGATTTAATTGTATTAACTGAAACCTGGTTATCTCGTTCTGTTAATGACTCTGAACTTGGACTTTGTCCTCATTACTCCGTTTTCCGATGTGATCGGTACGAAATTCATGGTCCCGACATTCGAGGAGGTGGTGTCTTAATTGCTATCAAAGTCCAATATCCATGTCATCGCTTAATTATACAACAAGATTTAGTGGAGCAACTATTTGTAAAAATACATATAAATCACATTTCTCTAATTGTCGGTTCCGTGTACTTCCCGCCGCGCTCTGATTTAAATTTATATAATAGCCATGTTAATGTTATTGATAACCTCATGAGTAAATATTATAATGATAAATTTTTGTTGTTAGGTGATTACAATTTGACTAATGTTAATTGGGTCTCTAATAACCGCAAAATTATTCCCAGATTGTCAAATAATAATTTGTATGAATCAAATATCATATCTGCCTTATCTTATGTTAATTTAATGCAAAACAATTTAATACATAATTCTTCTGGGTCATTACTAGATCTAGTTTTCTCAAATATTGTCAATGTTAATGTTTCCCCCGAAACTTCTTCTCTGGTCCCTCTAGACTATAAATTTCATCCTGCATTAAAAATTACACTTCCACTTTCATCCACAAAAAACAATTTATATTATAATGAAATTGTTCATGATTTTATCAATAGTGATTATAATGTCATTAGGTCTTGTATGGCCTCAACTGATTGGAGTTGTACATTTAAAGATTTACATATTAATGAAGCACTTGATATATTCTACTCCAAATTACACGATATAATTAATGTACAATATCAAAAAAAACGTATGTTCTCCACAAAGTATCCTTTATGGTTTTCCAAAACTCTAAAACATTTAATTTTCTCAAAAAAAATTGCCCATAAAATATATAAACAATCTCCAACTAATGTAAATTATAATATATTCTCTAATCTACGTGCTCAATGTAAAGTTGTTAATAAGACCGATTATGGAAATTTTATACAGAGAACTCAAAGTTCAATAGCCTCTAATCCTAAAAGGTTCTGGAATTATATTAATAGCAAACGATCAAATTCTAATATTCCATCTGTTATCTCATATAATAATCAAAGTGTTACTGGTGGTGACAAAATCGCGGAAAGTTTCGCCAATTATTATTCTACTATTTACCAACAATTAAATTTTATGCAAAAACCACCCGATGACATTAAATCGATGAAAGTCGATTTGAACACCTGCGTCATTACTTTAAGCGATATTTATGATGAGTTAAGCAGCTTAAAATCCACTACCTGTCCTGGTCCTGATAGTATTCCGTATACTTTCTTTACTAACTGTAAATGTGTTCTGTCTATCCCTTTATTATACTTATTTAATACATCACTTAAATCCGGTGTTTTTCCGGATAAATGGAAAATTTATTATATTAAACCGATTCCTAAAGGGGGAGATCTTACTTTAGTCACTAATTATCGCCCAATTTCTATAATTTCGATTATCCCTAAATTGTTTGAAAGTATTGTACACAAAAAAATCTTCCCGTTATTTAAAAATATTATCTCTGATGTCCAACATGGCTTCATGCCGGGTAAATCAACCACCACGAACTTACTAGTACTCCAAAATTACATCCTACAAGCTTTCAGAACTGGACTCCAAGTTGACGTTATTTATACTGATTTCTCCAAGGCGTTTGATAAAGTAGATCATTGTGCTCTTAGCTCTAAATTATTTAATCTAGGTATACGTAATCCTTTTCACTCGTGGTTAGTTTCATTCATAACTGGAAGGCAGCAATATGTAAAATGCATGAGTTTTAATTCTTCATTATTTAAAATTAACACTGGTGTTCCTCAGGGATCACATTTAGCTCCACTTCTATTTAATTTATTTATCAATGACATCGAATTTTTAAACTCTAATAAGTTACTATATGCAGATGATATGAAAATTTACCGTATAATTACATCACCAGCTGATAATTTGCTGCTCCAGGATGACTTAACTCGTCTTAGCACCTGGTGCACTCAAAATAATTTATCCTTAAACATAAACAAATGTAAGATCATAACCTTCTCTAAAAACCGTACACCTACTCTATATAATTACTACATAAACAACATTAAATTAGATCGAGTCTATCTATACAAGGACCTGGGAATTTATTTTGACCCATCTCTTTCATTTAATGATCACTATATGTATATCCAAAATAAAGCCTCTTCGATGTTAGGTTTCATAAACCGCAGCTGTAAAGACTTCGTCAATCCTTTAGCGTTCAAATCACTCTACTGTTCCTTCGTCAGATCATTACTCGATTATGGATCTATAGTATGGTCCCCGCAATCAATCGGTGCTACAAAAAGCATTGAATCAATTCAAAACCGTTTTCTACGTATCATTCAATTCAGATGTTGTATCGAACGTGCACCTCACTCATCATATCAACCATTATTGTCGTATTTAAACCTTAAACCCTTGTCAACAGAAGGAAAAGACTTGATCTATGTTTTATTTTTAAATTAAAGAATGGGTATATTAAGTGTCCTGAACTACTTTCTTTATTGAATTTTAATATTCCAAATCGTAGAACTAGGCAATTAAATACTTTTTATGTACAACTCCAGTTTCAAACTATGGTCAAAATGCTCCTATGAATAGATCTATGCAACTTGTTAATTATTTAAATGTTGATCTATTTTCCTGCGTTTCCTTAAATGATTTTAATTTTTACATAAATAATGTTTTAGCTGTATAAATGTTATAATCTATGTCAATATCTCATTAAGTCGATTTCCAATGTTAAACAACTTTACTCTGTATTCTTAACCATTTTTGTTTCAGTGAATTATTTTCAACCATAATTGTCTCATCACATACATTACTTAAACCTGTCTATTTACCAAATGCACACTATCTGTATAGCTGTCATATTAAAATATTTAAGATTAGTGTTCATGTGATAACAAATATTATTATTATTATTATTATTATTATTATTATTATTATTAGATATTTTATAATAATAGACGTATGTCTATAATAAATGTAACTGGGTTCGCCCGTTTAAATTATACAAATAAATAAATAAATAAGTATTTAGCTATAAGTAAATCAAAAGAAATGTATTCCACCTATGACGAAATCGATAGAAGTCAATGTAAACATGTCAGTGATTTCCTCATGTGTCCTGAAATATATCCTTTACATCCTAGAAGTGTACGCCCATATGTGAGGTGCTTCTACAGTTCTACTACAAGATCCAAAGGAAGTTCCGGACATACACCGAGAGACGTAATCAAGCAGGAAGCCCTAATACCACGGAGCACGACATATTCCGTGTATCCATCCATTTCATCTTTATGATACGGAGTATCATTCTTACAAGGGAGGAATGTAGTAAACCGACGTTTTTACACAAAAACGGCGTTCCAAAGGTTAGGTGGCCTGAACAACATCACGCCACCAAAATATTCCATTGAGGCTGCCGCCTCATTGGTTAATACTGATCGACTACGCATCACGCCATTCCTATGACGTCAATCATCCTTTCCTAAATCCCGGGCATGTCTCATATAAATAGGGGCCCTGTTTCACAGACTTTTCAGACATAGAAGTAATTACCAGTGCTTTACAATACTTGTGTGGGTCGCGGACTAGAAACAGCCGCATCGCCGTCCACATCAAGTATAATCTAAATTACAACTATTCTCCGGTAGAATTATTATTCTGTCGACAAATTTTAAATTACTAAAATTAACTATATTATTAGTTTCGTGTTAATAAACATTATATCTATAATTAACTACATTTTGTGTTAAACTATTCTTACTCTACCTTCAATTCAACCACCATCCTCCGATTCATTGAGACGACGTGTACGTGCATTCGTCGTTAAAGAAGTGTGCAGTAACCAATCAAGTGAGAGCGACGGGTTACTACACTACTTAAGAGTGCGTAGCACACCCATATTTTCCGTTCAAACACATGTTTTGGTAGAATAGCTCTCATTTGGGTTACAGTAGTCGTACAATTACAAAATTTTGCAAACATAAAGATGACAATAATACTCGTGTTTGTAAGTTGGTTTATTTTGAAAGCTATATTACACTCATTTTTATAAACCGTGTAAGAATATAGTTTTTGGTAATTTGTTATGTATCATAAAAAACTCACTGAGTTGACTGATCTAGTATATCCAACGTATACACACAGACAATATTGTCATCTTTATTTTGGTAAAGTTTGGATTTGTTACGTTCATTGTAGTTTAAAAGACAGCTGTTCTCCTGAGACATGTTTTTAGACATTTTGATTCATGTAATCATGTTTACTACCGTCTAGTGCTGCTCTCGTGGCTACAGCGGTAGCGTTCTAAAACTGTACTCATTACCCCACACATGACGCCACGCATGACCAGCATACACACCAGGCCGTAATCTGTATTTATTGCAGCCGCGCACGGTTTATAAATAACCAATTCGTCGATATGAAAATAATAATATTGGCGGTGAATATAATATTGTATTATTTGGTACCAACTACCAAGTAATCAGTCGAAGATGAAAATGAATCACAGCATGGTCAGCATGCAGTAATTATGAATGAAATTAATAATTTGGAAGAGTTATCAGATTGGACTCTTGAATGGGAAACGTTAAAAATAATTACAAGCACATTTGTACTAGCTGTTTCTGATAGAAACAAGTAAGATTTTACTTTTTATATGTATTTAATTGAGCATTTGAGAATTGAGTATTTATGAATTTTAGATTCTGAGCGAATCGATGAATTTATTGATTTTACAATGATGTGTTTTTTTTTTGTTTGTGTCTGTGTACACGATAAGTAGTCGAAATAATGCTTCGATTTGAAAATTCAGTATCTAGTTCGATGGGAAAGTGAATTTTGTTGGTGCATTGGGGAGGTCAAAGGAGGCCAGTAATTTTCAAAAGCGCCATGAAAAACAAAAGAAAATTTAAGGAAAAACGGGAGTTATTACGCAAAGTCGATTTTGGTTTTTGGTATAACTCTAAAAGAAATGACCTTAGATACATGAAATTTTGACTGAATGTTTATATTAGCATTTTTTATACACCATAACATTTTTAAAATATTTTGATTTATCTTGAGCTGTTTACGGACATTTTCAGTTCCCGATTTTTTTATGTTTTTTTTTTTCTATAGATGTCTATAAAATTTTATTTCTTGGGTAAAGAAGCTTAAAAATTTAATACAAGGCTCCTAACATATTTTTACAACGATATATGAAAAATATTAAAAATCCGTAGTCACAAATTTTTTTTATAAGCATTTTCATAAGCCAAGTTTAAATATTGACAAAATACGTAAAAATCACGAAAATTTGCAAATTATTTTGTGTTAGAAATTCATAAAAAATTTTCTTTTTAAATATAAGGTTTGAAAGTGTAACACAAGATTTCTCATGAGATTACCTACCTTTATCAAAAAAAAATTTCTAATACCAATTCAAATTAAAAATTTATGAGCGCTTGAAGTTCATATTTTTACAACATTGGATATTCACTCGAATTCTCATGTAGCGAATTTCTTATTTTGTTGTTATTCAAAAATGAATAACTATAGTCTCCGTTCAGAATTGTAAAAATCACAATTTTTTCACTTTGGAAGGCACCAGTGGCTAATCTGATACCTTGATTGTGAATGGGATTCAGTATGTTGAGAATTTTGTTTTTGGCTGTATTATATATGACTGCGCCGTATTCCAGTTTTGCTAGAATGGTTGCTTTGTATATAGTTATGAGGCTATTTTTTTCTGAGCCCCAAGATTGGTGAGATAAGGTTTTCATAATTTTCATGCTATTATTCGCAATAATGTTGAGGTTTTTAAGGTGGTGTGGGTTCCAATTTAATTTATGGTCAAATGTCATACCTAGTATTTTTATTTTGTCTGTATATGCTAGGGTATTGTTGTTTAGGTTGATGTAGTGTACGTTTTCATTGCGCTTTTTATGAAAGATGATACTTTGGGTTTTGGATGGCGTAAAATTGAAACCCTTTGTGGCTGACCATTTGAGAAGTTCCCCCAGGGCTTATTCGATGAACTGAACTGTTGTTTTAATATTTACGCCACTGCAGAAAATGTTGCAATCATCCGCAAAGATGGTGTATTTTATATTAACATATGCAATTATTATTTTCCAAAAACTCTACTAATCTATACTTTATAATTTTCTCTAATATTTTTGCGAAATTGCTTAACATTTATATTGGTCTATAGTTATTCATGATCTTTGAGTCACCATTTTTCTATAATGGTTTGATAATTGCAAGTTTAAGTTTGTCAGGAAATACACATTCAGAAATACTTAGATTATAAATAATATGTTAAAGGTTCAATAATATTTGTAGCAATAGCCTTTAATGTTTTCACAGATACTCCATCAAAACCTGCAGCAGTATCATCCTTCAAATTATTTATTATTTTTATAATTTCCTGATTGTTAATTTTCTCTTTAAAAATCATGTCAAATTAGGCTTTTGTGCTTGGTTCATTATAAATAAAATCCGATTTTTTTATTTTACATGCAAGGTTACTACCAATATTTATAAAAAATTCGTTAAACAGATTTGAAACTCTCACCGGATAATAGTCTTTTTAAATGTATTCACAAATGCAATCAAATTTGTTTGTAGTGTTAGATATGTGTCAGGAGAATTGTTGATATTTTTGAACAAATAAAGGATAGTGAACATACAGGTGGATTTGGTTGTTCATTTGTAAATATGACATTCATATCCGAAATAAGACGAGGGTATTATTCTGAATTTAAATCCAAGTGCAACATGTGTGGTATTATTAAAAGTATTCAATCTGAAAAAGAAAAAGAAATGTTTTTACCGATTAATAAGTGAATCGTTAGCGGGACAATTGCTATTGGAATTGGTCATTCACAATTAACTAAATTATCAGCCACAATTGACATACCATATGTGTCACCAACAACTTACTTTAAAGTTCAGAACCTCTCTAAGTAAGAAAATACACGATGTTGCCATGCAAGAAATGTTATTTGCTGGCGAAGAAGAAAAAAAATAGCATTTGAAAGTTTTAATGTAGACAACGACGGTATACCTATGTGCACTGTGATGGCAGATGAACAGTGGAGCATACGTAGTTATAAAACGAAGTATGATGCTTTGTCAGGAATGGTAAAATTAAATTAATACATACATTTATAATACCAATTACTATATAGTATAACATATTATATTTATTATATATTTAATACAGGCTACAATTATTGGATACCGTTCTATAAAAATATTATTCATTGGTATCAGAAATAGATACTGCGTTATTTGCTAACGAGCTAAAGTAAATAATGAGACCGCTATAGAACATGTTTGTTTCATGAACTGGGCCAAAAGGGCTACTAGTATAGAAGCGAACGCAGTAGCTGAAAGGTTCAAAATAAGTGTGAAAGTGCATTGCTTGAAATTTAACCAATTAATCGGTAAATTAAAACATATTTATTTTATATCTAAAACCATTTGATTTTACTATCGTCAAAATATTTTATTTGACTTACGCTCGATTTTATTTATAACTATCGTAAGCAAAAGTTATGGACAACCTCAAATATTTTTGGTTTTAGTACGGTAGGTTTTTTTTTAACTGATATTTGATGAAAATTGTATGGAGAACATTGTATCAAATTTTCAAACCTTAGGTATAAATAATTTAAATTTTATAAATTTTCAACTACAAGCCAAATTAAGAATTCAATTTGGTCAAAAACTGGTTGTGAGTAAAAATTCCCGTTTTTTTGTAATTTTTTTTTGTTTTTCACGGTGCATATGAAAAGTACTAAAATTGTTTTTACTTTGAGCCCCCAAACAACACTTTGATTGCATTGGCCTATATGATATTATTATAGAGTATATACTATATAGGCTATAAATACATATTTAGTAAATTATACCTATATGAATTGTTAAAAAAATATAGGAGATGGTGACAGTAGTTTTATGAAACGCTTAAAAGAAATAATGCCATATGGATATTCACGTGTCGTTCAAAAAGTAGACTGCCGTAACCATCTTTTGAGAAATTATTGTCAAAAGATTATGGCATTAACTAAAAAATCGGAATATCCTAGTCGAATTAGGAATTACATAGCGAGTAATGCAATGCGATTTAGAACAGCTATAACGAAATAGATTGCATACCATAAAGATGGCGATGGAGCTAAAATATAAATTGTAAGTTTTTTGTACTTCCACAAAAAATGTTTTTTTTATTTTGTAACTAAATTTTTACAAATATTTTAGATATCTGAAAGGATATAAAGAATAGTTTTTACCACATATTAGGAGAACTGCAAGTTGTGAACCATACTTTTGTGATGGTAGAAAAAATGGAGAAGTTAATTTAGTTTTTGAAGCTGAAAATGTGGTTTAATTCAAGAAGTAACACAAATTAGCAATAGAATATCGGGACATTCAGATAGCCTGTACATGAATGTAGACAATAATGCATGTGAACAGTTTAACTCTATAATAAATAAGCACATTCCCAGAAAGCGGATAAATTGTTCACAGCGTGTAATTCATATAATGTTGAGTTGAAGCTGCATTAGTTTCATACAATTCATATGGTCAACACATGAGAAAAATGCATAAAAACATTACAAACATAAGTCCTGGTAAGTAAAGAATTGTTTTTTTTTATATTTTACATTTTAATTAAATGAGAAAATAATAAAATCAGCTGTCTATTGGTACTATACCTACATAATATTATTATTATTCAAAACTTAACAAATCTAAACATTTTCAATAACAATCTCTTTTTTTTTTATAAAATGTAGTCTAACATTACGTCACAATTTCATTCAGGTGAAGTTGGGAAAACATTTTTAAAAGCCAATGAGATGAAACGAACAACAAATAAAAGACGAAAAGAACTCTTCCCGAAATCAAAATTAAAAAAGAGCCGCCAAGCCAGACCAACATTGTGGTTTAGCTGAGCCACTTCCGGAAGAACACGTAACACCTGAAGAAATTGAATTTAAAAAAATACAATTTTTAAGCAGTTTGACATTAGACAGAAGTGGACGATTGGCTATTGAAGAAAAAACAAGAGATCAAGCTAATAGTCAACTTTGGCATAGTAAAAGAAGAAATCGTTTAACCACATTCAACTTCGGGCGTATATGTAAAATGAGACCAACAACATCATGTAAATCAACTGTATATGATTTATTGTATAGAACATTTTCCACTGCGGCCACTGAGTATGGAAAAGCATTAGAATCGTCTGCTATAACAGCTCTTGAAATCTTTTTAAACTGTAAAGTACGACCAAGTGGACTGGTGGTAGATGCAAATCTATATTATTTAGCAGCTTCTCCAGGTGTGTATACTGTATTATAATAAATATTTGAATAATATATATTTAGATTTAGGTTTACAGAAAAAAAAATTATATCTTTTATTTTATAGATTGCTTAGTTGAAGATGACGGGGTTGTAGAAATTAAGTGTCCTTTTGGTGCAAAACATTTTGTTTCATTTGAGGAAGCTGTGTCAAATAAGAAAGTAAATATAAGTTATAACCTATGCATCATTGTTACTAACAAAGCTACTATTGACTTAAATATTTGTATTTTATTTTTGAAAAATCTTAAATCTAGGTGCCTTATTGCCAAATCGTCGAAAATAAAATTTAATTAAAACCTGATCATTTGGAAAACGTCGATGCCGGTGTACAAGTTCCGAGGGATGAACTTTTGTTGGAAGACAACATTGAGGTAGTTGAAGTCATGATGGACAATGACAACGTTGAGGTAGTTGAAGTCATGATGGATAATGACAACGTTGAGCCAGACGAAGTCGCGATGGACGACGACAACGTTGAAATAGTTATCGTGAACGGAGACGAACAAGTATCAGATGATGATAACTTTGTTGGTGTTTTCGAGCTTTCACCACTGTACGACATTCAAGAGGTCAGTTTATATTTTGTATAAATTATATTATTCATTTAATGTTCATAAAGGAAAAAAATAATATACAACCGTGTCTTTTAAATTTCAGGTTGAACAAATCGCCCCGGTTGTCGCTAGACTGTTGCTAGACCGTCCGGCTGGCGTTCAGCACCCACTACCGGAACCACACTACATAGGCGCGTTGAATTACGTATGCCGGTATTGTAGGGCCCGCCACTTTAAGTGCGAGGAAACAAGCCCGAATAATGTTTCTACATGCTGCAACAACGGTCTGATGGCCGTTTCAGGACCGTGTGTGTTGACACCTGCACCGTATTTACTACAGAGGTTGTTGGTTGAAGATTTGGTAGAAGGTAGACACTACCGAAATAACATCCGCCGGTACAACAACACTTTGGCATTTGTTGCATTTTCCACCGCCTTCAACACACGGCGCTTGCCAGGTCGGGGACCGAATGTGTTTACTGTTCATGGGCAGGGATATTGGACGATAAGTAATGACTTGATCGGGAACGAACCTATCCAACGCAGATTCTGCCAGCTGTATTTCGTCGAATCCGGAGAGGCAAACCGGATTTGTAGGGAGCAGCAGCAACTACTGCCTGCCGCACAACGTCTATTGCCAAGTGTGCTCGGAGACTTAGACGGCCTGTTACGGGGCATCAATCCATTCGCACAGGCTTTCGAGTAAATTAATTAATTAATTTCATTAATTTTACTGAACAAGCCACATTTCCATTACGCTACACTACAGACAAACCATGTTAACATTGATTCATAAGTCATAACATTGAAATATTTCGTTAGCTAGCGAGTACACATGTCACTATTCCAATTTCAAATTATAATAATTAATTATACTATTTCATTAGCCTTATATCAGTGTATATTTACCTGCCTACTTACACTATTCATTTATACATTTTTTTACTTTGCTTGCATTCATACATTTTCAGTTAGTTACAAAGTAGCTTACTTTAATGAGTAATAACTAGAAAAACATAAATTCTTATTCGCAATCACATTATTGCCTAAATATTATATTAACAACGTTTGGTCACAAATTAAAAGTTTATTTATTTTGTTCAGATTAAGTTACGGATACAGATTTATTTCTCTTAAAATTATTAAGATACTTGGTAGGTATATGGAAAATTCTATACATACACTGCTACACTTCAATGTATGACACAACGTTGGTGCTATACACAACACTATTGCACTGTCACAACTCATTTTTAACTCATCACTAACTTACAACCAATCTTACTCGCTCATGCCACACTTACTTTATACTTACCATAGACACTACACTTAACATAAAATATAACTTATTTAAATTGCGTTACTGCTGTCTCCGATTGTGATTAGATATTTGTTTCTTTCTATTTCATTTATACCTATGCTTACATGTCTATACATTATTTTCTTTTTTTTGTGTGTGCATTAGGTGGGTACACTACTCCTATGTACAAAATTCAACTTCTACTTGAATATTTCTCATTTAATTTCAAATGAACACAAACACAAGTGACTAGAGTTAAAGTTAATGATTTCTATTACTTTTGTTTGTGTTCCTTATGTACTTTAATACACTTCAATTCAATGTATCTAAACAAACATTTGGTATTATACATCGTAATACGTTTTGCATTATGCTGCTCTCTGTCATTTTACACTACCACATCACTCTTTGTTGATATTATGTGTGAGGATTGATTAAATAGGACTCTGACGTTGACATTTCTGAGAACATTAACAATACACCAATATATGCGCTACAAACATGTACGGGCGTAGAACACTTCTTCCAAAATGTAATATTATTGATAACATGTTGGAAGAATATTGTTGCCAACATCAAAAAATAATAAATAAAATTATTCAGTTGTACCAACGTGGCTTTTATACATTACTAGCCCACCCGTCACAGCTTCGCCCGTGATTGGTTGTTTATTTGGCCTCCGGACGATGAGATGTATAATTTTTTATTCAAATTGTATTCTTTAATGTGATCAAATAAATATAAAAATGGCTAATGAAAACGTATTGAAATGCTTCTAGCGCTATTAATGATAAATATATTTTTATTAAAAATAGTTTATCCCGTGCACATCGTTGCCCGTTAAATGTACCAACTCTATATGACTGAAACTTTGTTCAATTTGTTATTTAATATTCGGTGTATGATGTTCAAAACTTATCTTAACTTTTCCGTTGTCAAAAATAAAAATTCTGATTTGCATCAGTATATTATCACTTTTCAGGTAGGCAATCTACCTGTGGTAGATCGCGGACCCCATGTTGTTGGTACGTAAGTGTATGATTTAGCTCTTGAGTATCAAAGTTATACCAAGTTTGTCGTTTTTACTTAATTTCACCTACAGTGGATTAATATAATCAATTAATACAAAATCCTAACCTTACCAAAATCCGATGAAAAAGAAAACAAAATTTGTCCTTTTTAAATTAATCTATCTTCTTCCCAGAGGTACAATTTACACACAAAAATTTATTTATACATACCTATATACACATTTTGACGAAAAATAATAATAAAAATCAACAAACATGCCCGGTTAACCGATAGCAACCAATATATAATACACATATTATTATTTTAATCTGCAACAATAAACTAATTTTTTTATTATTTAGTTTATTTTTTACTGGGCAGATCACGCCACTCTTGTATTCTTGACACCCCTATTTCCTACTTTTCTGGTGGATTTTCCTAAACAAAAGTGGTACTATGACCTCCAGCAGACTGTCAAGTATAGCAGTAAAAAATTTCAGCCAAATCGGTTCAGTAGTTTTCTCGGTTAGCGCGGTCCAAGAAACCCCTTACCATTTTATATAATAGTGTAGTAAGCCAGCTACTACGGAGTAATACCAATTTCATAAGTACATAGTTATTATTATAATACACGATGAATCGGGATTCAGACTTAGGTGTAGTAACATTTGTCAGTAACAATAAAACCAGATTCCACAGGTGCATAAATATTATAATAGACGGTAGACCGGCATAGTCGGGCATTATGAAGGAAATGGGTCCTTCAAATCCTATGGAGACAGGCTCACTGAATAACTCAAGATGATAGGGTCAAAATAGGTGGTCGTCATATTTGACAGAAATACTGGACGCATACGATGAAATTAAAATATTGAAGAGTAAAATGACTAATCATAAATTGGTAATACATTCAATCAGTTATACATTCAATCGTCAATGCGTGGGCTAGAATGATGACCATACGAATGACATCCGTGAGAACGGAGATATCGTATATGTAGGCAAGGGGTACGGGGAACCTCATATATAAGGGAGCCCGAATCGGCCTGTTTTCAGACGTGTACTACCACCCATTAGAGCAAGCACCTTCACGTCACTTTGTACAATATTATTTTGGACTTAGAAAATTATCGAACGTTATAATAAAAATTCACAATACACAACAACTGTCTTATTATTCATTTATCTACCACGACTTCAGCATCAAATAAAGTGTCTGCGACCTGCATCTATAACATCTTGGTAGCCACTTATCTACTGTCAGCACTACGATAGTAGGTACAAGCACCCAGATCGTTACAATAGTATAGATTAACATTGAATAGATTGAAAAAGAAAATACTAGTATTTATAATTAATGATATTAAACAATAAACATTATATTTATGTCATTATTACATAACATATTAACATAATATTATAAATATAATAATTGTGTTTTATATGAATTGGACCACCTGAATTGCCCTGTAAGATCGTAATAATAAATTACAATTAAAGAAATGTTTATGATGCAAAAACGTAATTAATAAATATTTGTATAGAAATTAAACATTCTTACTCCAAAAAGGCCTTTTCAATCTTCTAAATGGAACTGGAAGTTGTAAGCATATGAAATATTTGGTATATATTTGGAACTATAAAGGAATTAATGGTTTATTATATTAATATGTACATACATATTCTAATTAAATATGTCTAATTAAAATTTATGGCTAAATAGATTTTATTCTATTTAGTCAAAATATTTTTCGGGGATTTTATTTCAGGTCTTTTTTTTCGAATATCAACTTAAATGTATAGTGTATACCTATTGATAGTATCAATCACGGACTAAGTCAGTGGTATCAATTGATCGTATACATCCTGATAATAAAAAATTTTGAGGTTAATTCCACTATCACAGATTATGAATTTGGAAGATGTGTCCCCATCTCAAACATGTACCTATTACACAACGATTAATAAATTTCAATTTTATACAATAAATCATAAGCCCGTGTCACTTCGTTACAGAACCATGCGAGAAGTGTGGGCTAGAGAAAAGGCTCCTGACAGAGATCCTCAGTTGGTTCCAAGGAGGGTGAGAATGCATTTTGTCGACGACTGAAATGTGGACAGGAGGCGATACAACCCACCACCTGAAACGGTCAACGAAGTCGCAGTAGTGTTTGTCGGTGATGACGGTCAACCGCCAACAGACATCGATCTGGTGATCCACGACCGGAATCCGATTGACCCGCAACATCGCCGGCTACAGACCATACCAGCCGGATCTTCAAACGCGGATCCAATGCTGTATCCCCTACTCTTCCCACGAGGAGAGCTGGGTTGGCATCAACGTTTGCTACAAGAGGGCCCTCGCCGAACTCCTGTTCGCAATCGGAACAGTATCAGGGAGTATACTTGGTATCGTCTTGCTATTCGTTACAATGGCAATAACGACACAATCCACGATGCTATGAGTTTATTACATAATGGTCGATATCTGTTGCAACAGTTTGTGGGTGATCATTACGTTAGAATGGAAGCGAACAACTTACTGTACATTAGATTTCATCAAGTTGAGCTCTTCGCAGAATCGTATCAGGGACTTGTGGATCACATCAACCACAACAGCTCCGAATCGACGCACCCGTGGCGGGCGTCGGCCGTAGGATGATTTTGCCATCGTCGTTCACAGGTGGTCCCCGTTTCATGAAACAGTGTTATCATGACGCGACGGGCATTGTGAGAAAGTGTGGAAAACCTAATCTTTTTATTACGTTTACGTGTAATCCTAGCTGGCCGGAGATCACAGAGAACCTACCGAGATGGGCCACGGCAACCGACAGACCGGACCTGGTGTCCAGAGTTTTCAACGCGAAACTCAAGCAGCTGATGCGCGACATAACGGTGAACAATATATTTGGTAATGTCGATAAATATGTTTATAATGTCGAGTTTCAGAAACGAGGACTGCCGCACGCCCACATACTGATCATTCTGAGTGGGGGTAGCAAGTTGCTAAGTCGACAATTTAGTGTGCGCCTTCTTGTCAGATCCTGTGACTGATCCGCGGCTAATCAATTGTGTGACGAGACACATGGTCTACGGGCCGTGTGGCACGCTGAACCCAAACAGCCCATGCATGGTGGACAACAGTTGTTCAAAGAAGTTTCTAAAAGAGTACAGCGAAGAGACTGTATACATTTCTGACGCCGGTTACCCAAAGTACCGTCGGCCAAACAACGGACCTGTGGCCAGGGTCAGAGGTCAACAGGTCAGCAACGAGTTTGTCGTGCCTTCAATCCGTACCTGTTAGCAAAATACGATGCACACATTAACGTAGAGGTATGCTCTACTATGAAGAGTGTTCAGTATTTGTATAAATACGTATATAAAGGGCACGATGC